TGTAAGTTTGTCATTCGATTTCTCTTCAGTTATGAATCCTATGTCGTTGAAAATGCTGTTGATTAACATGTAAGCGTTTTTCAATTCGTTCCTTTGAATAATAAAAAATGTGGAGATCTACTAACCTCCACTAAGTATAAAGAACAATATCCGGATTTTCAACACTAATCTCAGTCAGATCAGTGCTGTCGTGTGATGGTTGAAAGAGTTAGCGCGCTACGAAAAGCATTTCCAACAAACTACAGACATTCATCAACAGCTGTCGCCTACGCTCACTCGATACTGACAATGAAGATCTATCAGATGGTCAGAATAATAAGAATAAGCAACAAGGAAATTTGGCTGGCTGGCTGGCTGGCTGGCTGGCTGGCTGGCTGGCTGGCTGGCTGGCTGGCTGGCTGGCTGGCTGGCTGGCTGGCTGGCTGGCTGGCTGGCTGGCTGGCTGGCTGGCTGGCTGGCTGGCTGGCTGGCTGGCTGGTAACGAACCAACAAGTCAACAACCCATCGTCCAACAAATATGCAGAAGAGAGTGGAGATGGATTGGAATGGATTGGATTGGACATTCATTGAGAAAGAAGACCGTTTGGGGACATCACGCACCAGGCCAGACCCTAGAGTGGAACCCGCATGGGAAACGACGAGTTGTGCGTACATGGGTGACATGGATGAGATGGTGTGAGGAAGGAATGAAAGCTTGTAGGCATAGGTGGAGTGAGGTTGAAAATACTGGAGAGAAGGGAGTGGAATGGCGACGTGCTACTGAATCCCTATCCTCTACTAGGAACCCATAGGATAAATAACATTTATAAAAATGAACTGTCGAGACATAGCAACATTTTCCAATGACTTTGCGACGAATTCAAATTCAGGATAATAAATTTATGTTTAGTATCACGTATTTTATGGTTTCATTATCCTTAGAAAATTATTTTGATGGCGGGAATTGGTTGGAAATCTTCGGCTGTAATGAACGTAAAGCAAGAGAAACTCCGATTCACAGTATTTCATTGTATAGCACAGTCTTCACGCACATCTGCTCAGCAGTACTGTATATCCACGTCGGAATACTAGTGTTTACGGAGGAAAAATATATTTTGTATACATGGTATATTTCAGGTTGCAAACCAGTGTACCTTCTTGTCTGCGATGGAAGTTACATTGAAAAATAGACTGAAGGACACCATTTTTGAGACGCTTGGAGTTTGTACGATACATCAACAACAAAAGGAGAACAATTCATGTTTCATCTCTGATTAAATATTTTTGTTTCCCCGCTGAAATATCGGCATATTGATGTTGTAAGTTAACAAGAAACGAGTAATGTGTTAATGAGTTGTGCTAGAGAAACTTAAACGTATCGACTAAATTCGTTTGGAACAAACAACCAGTCTTCACGTCACTCGCATAGTCTTGATGGCTCCCGACTACTCACAATTTTTCAGTAGTATGCTTATGGCTTGTCAACTTTTCGCCAGTAGAAATCAAAATTGATTGAGATAGCAACAGGTGACCAATGTTTAGCCACCATAGCAGAAGTCATAGTTGTCAAAACAGCCTCCAGAAACATTGTAGCTCTGATCATCCAATTCTTGCTTTCATCTGCTAAGGCTAAAAGTAGCATTCTCATAGATTGCTGAACAAATTTTGTCTTGCATCTTGTTGTAATTAACAATGACAAGTAAGCAGTCAGCAATTTCACTCCCTCCTCCCTTGTAGTACCCGCTAATAAGTTAGAGCTCTAGCCTTCAAATAACTATGGTCCAACTTTCTAATTTATGGTCTTCAATACACACAGGCTAGTTAGTATGTATGTCAAGCATAAAAACCCAATAAGGCTTTACAACTTAGAGTTCCATGAGTTATACTTTCACCTTCAACAAATCCCAAAATTTTCAGACAGTATGTCACTCTTACCGCTAGACAACTAGAATAGACGACAAGGGAGCATTGGTCCACTTTCCTCTTCGTTATATGTACAACACATTAAAGATGAAGGTCAGACTGAATGGGTAGAAAAGATTCACAAGGTCATTTGCTTTTGTTTTATTGGTATTACCATCGTCATCATCATTATTGTTGTTGTTATTACCATATGACTCACCCCTCTTAGCATACAAACGAACACACGTGTTCGCGTATTACAAGTGTTTCTCTCTATCCCTTTTTCTTTTGCTAGACCAACGAAATACGGTCGATTCTTTTCATCCAACCAAATGAAGGTCGAATTGTCTCACTTTCATGACTTATTTCCTAGCTGTTACTAATAGTCATACTCCGCTACCACAAACATACGCAGATACCAAATAGCAGATTATTTGACAGTTGAACAAATATCAAGTCGTGTTAATGCTGGTTACATTCATCTTCTACACTGGGGAAATTTAGACTATACAGTTTACAAGAGAAACATTACAACCAACTGGTGGTAAGTTCACCCTCTAAAGAATGTCTTTATGCCGCATCACCTAGCTAAGCCAGATTTATGCTACCACAGTTTCGATACCTGGCAGTGTTCATTCACTTATTTATGCATAATTTATTTATTATCAACCATAAAAAAGCCATCTGCTGAAATGACTAACTCAGATAAAGACGAAACCAGTAGCATTTTCTTATTTGCTTCTGAAAACTGCTTCAAAATACTGCTCATCAATACCAAAAATAGAGCGAAAAACCCCAGTCTCATTGTCTCTGACTGAAGTGTATTGTCCTTGGTTGACTTCATCCAACTATATGACATCAAAAAAAAGTAATTTAGTAGTGCATCATGTACTATGCACATAGCAGCATACCTCCGTCGATATGGTGGAGAAGAAACATGGAATCAGTCTGTATCATCGTCATCACCTGTTGACAATTGTTCTGTATGGATTAAATTTCACACAAAACCGAATAAGTTTCTAATTTATCAGGTGGACAAAAGAAAAAGCTTATTTTGACATGGATGCATCAAGCTAGTAGTCAGTTGTGCACCCACAAATTGGTGTATTCTGTTATACTTAGCTGAATAATCACTCCGTGGAAGTTACTTCAAAATAAAGTTCGTTGCATAGGAGGGATTTCAACTCTAAGGTTTACTGACAGTAACAGAGAGTGACTAGTCTACACCTCCACCTCACTTTGTATTGACAGAAGTGTAATAACAAGCTGAAGTATCAGGTCACTCTTTAAGGTGGAAACCTTGGATCTTTCACAGTTAATTTGCTTTAGGTCTACTGTGAAAAAAGACGTTTGTAAATTCAAAGGATAATAATAATAGTCGCTTTATTCCAAACAACATGTGTGATACAGTAAGGAATTTTCAGCAGGTAATATTTCAGCGAATACGCTTCCCATACAATATTTTTAAACCAAATAATTATTACATCTGAACAGTGTTAACAATGACAAGGCTATTGAAAGTACTAATGTGAAACAGGTAACTAGTGTTACCTTACCATCTGGTCTGGACTTAAGGATGAATACAAAATCGAATGTAATTTTGGTGGTGGCAATTCATTTAGCCCGAACTAAAATTGTCAACTCGATATAAGTATCCCAGGACTAATGATATATTGTATTTGTTTTTGATGAGGAGTTGTGAGAATGAACAGAAATACTTAACGATTGGTAGTTGAGGGTTGAGACGATACAACCCGAGTGATTCGCGAAGAGAAATCCAAAGACTGGAAACCAGATGAGTTTATAGTATCTCCGACTGAAAATGTTTATGAGTGAAAACGGACCCTATTTATAGAGTTTACAGTAACCTTGAAAGACAAAAGATAATTAGTACATTTAAAGAGGCAGGAGCCAATCAGAACAAAAAATGGGTCATACGAAATATGACCCATGCACCGGAAAAGAGCGCGAATAAACCAGTTCAAATATATACAAACTGTAAATATGGAATATAAGGGATATAGACATCCCTAACAGTAATTTTGTACATTTATAAGTCCATTTTAATCCGATGTAAGCTTTCTTTCTTTCGTTCTTAGCCGAAGAAAAGATAGTTTGAAAACAACTTAAAAAGGCAAGAGTACATGATACGTTTAGCAGACATATTGAAAAGATTAAAATAAACATAAAGGGAAGAATATTTATTATACAGTTTTTAGTTAGGCCAAAGTTTAGCAAGCCGCCAAAAAAGGAGACCTTTAACAGGATACAGACAAAACATAAAAGCATTGAATCTAGTCAACAGATTCACTGCTTTTCATAATTTGCAATAATTTAAACTCCTATTCTCTATTAATGCGTCGTGCAATATCGATTGGTGTCCAGAATGTGTTTTGTTTACCTTTGCAATATTATGTTATGTAATATCACGATATAGACTGGTTTACTAGAAATTGCCCCACTTATAATGCTATACCTATAAGACTTGTTATGATACTTTTCATTCTGGTGAAAAGTTTAAGCAAAGCAAGCACAAGAACAAATTTATAGAATAAAATCATGTCATTTTATCTTGCAGATACTGATTTATCAGCTGCTTTTAGCCTAGAATTACATCGCTTAGTCAAGATGATTGAGATCGAAGTCATAGGGAACTCATGGATGGATATAAATGGTGGACTGAAACAGAGTTCTCTTCCACTCGGTTAATTTCTTTTTGCAACACTATTTACTCACTTATTCAGTCTAAATTTGATAAGTATCCTTCTTACATCATCTCTAATTGTACTGACCAATCCACATGTGCTTGTGGAAGCAAGTGCATAGAAAGAACTGATAAAACATTATCTATTCGACTTCATCAGTACGTTTCCAAAAAAATTCATGTTGGAAAGGAGGGAATTTTTCCACAATTAGATCGATGGTACGGAAAAATATGGTGGCCTTAGTGATTGGGGAATCACGTAAGCAGATGAATAACCAATTAATTATCTTGAAAGCTTCGGAGATATCTTTTCGATGTTCAGCTTCCATCAGGTGTCTAACTACTGCACTTGTGAATACTTTGTTCCCTTTGAAACAGAAATTTATTGGAGATATAATAGAGTGGATGCCCCTTCTATGAATCCTTCCAATGTACTTTCTCCCATAGCTAAATGTGTATTGGTTAGTGTTGTTGGAGAAGATGAGAGTACCGTATATATTCAATCTGTATACACTAGGCGAGCAAATAATGTCGTAAGCGGAAGTCAGTTGGGCAAAAGTGAAGCTTCTTTCCAGTCCACCTTTTGTTCAACTATCTATTCTTTCGCATATCGCATCCTCGTTCAGTGCAAAAACAATTAAAAACCGGTTTCCTCAAAATTAATTGAATGTTTAGGTTGATTAGTACATTCTCTTCCATAATTCAAAAGACGCTTTTCAAGGTATCCATTCTCCTTTAAGAATTTTTCTCTGCTCAAAAGTTTCTTACTGTGTTGAAGAGTGCCTTGACGAAACCCTTTTTAGAGGTAGTATTCATCGAGGACTGACATCTGTTGGGGAACCATTGAAGACCTGGGAGCACTGGACAGCTGTTTCCTCCCAGTATGGGGCTCCTCAGCAGTACGCATCCACAATTCGGCTGGGGACTGAACTCAGGACCTTCAGGTTTCACGGAGAACGCGTTGACCATCCAGGCACTGGTCGGAGTTCAGTGGTTTACGGTTTCCAACCTGTGTCACTTCATGATATAGCGTGACTATCATCCAAGGTCTTCAGTTGGCATCCGCTTCCCTTCCGACTGGTCTACCCGCAAGTCACGGCTTATTTATATAAGCTATTGCATCTGAAGCACTCACATGTCCATGTATCTTCGTAAATAGGATTTTCTCGGCCTAGTGTAGTTAGATCCAGGATGTTGGGTCGAGTGACTTTAAAGGTCACCCTAATAACCACTTAACTAACCAATCTAATTTCGGCTAAGTAGGTAGTTTTTCATAAAACAGAGGAACTTAACTGGTTATCTTAACACTTGTTAGGATGGCATTGAAAGTCACTTGTTGCCGATCATAGATGGAACAAGTACAGTTCAACAGCCATACAAAATTGATATATTAGGTGACTAACCGAATGGCTGTGTGTGTGTATGAACTGCAATATTGCTTAGCTCAACAAAACTCATTAGGTGCAATGGGTTTCGAGCCAGTGATCTGGTGACTAAGTACCTGATTGGATAAAACACAACTTGAGCGACATTACGGTTATCAAGGGGTTGAGTAATACAGCAACACTTTCATGACTAATTAACGCCAGATGCAAAAAGAACCGAAAATGTGAAATCACGGGGCAATTATTTAGCCTGAGTTTGCATGTACCGAGAAAAGTAAGAACCGTGAACTGAAACTCCTGGATTCACTACAGAGTAGTGAGACCACTGAATGTTTCAGTGTTTTCAAAGAGAGAATGTGACATCTAATCCTGGATAAGAATCTCTCAGTGGTTCAAAACGAATTCAGACTGCATGTGCTCAACAAGTCTACTCAGATATCAGACTTCGTTTGGGATTACTTTTAAAGTTGGGTGAAAATCTGCACAGTGTGGAGGGACCAGAGAAGTATAAAAGCTATTCAGCTTTACATGCCTAAAACTATCTCTCGCTCCTAGCTACCTTCAGTTACTCACTAAAAACAACACAAGTCTTCTTTCTTTGATGACAAGTGAGTGCTGACCGAGTTCTGTCAATCATTTCGTAATGTAGCCACTAAGTTAGGAGTTTCAGCATCATGGTACAGTCTTATGGACGTCGCTTCATTGGAAGTGATCGAGAGCTTGTTAGCACTCTTCAAAAAGACGTATCCGTAACCTCAAGGGATATGGTGTCCCTTCTGAGATTCGAACCCGCGTCACAAGTATTACATTACTATGAGTATGTGCTATACTGTATGGGTGCACGGACGTCATTTGAGGGAGCCTCATTCAAGCTCATTACTTATAGATTGAAAATAAACTGAACAGACTGGATTTATAGGGAACACCTTCAGGGAGTGAAAAATGGTGATTTTTTGAGTAAATTAGAGGAGTACACGTTTCCTATAGTTAAACAGCCATAAAACAGTGAAATATAGAGCACGTTGTAACTACCAGTTGGCGCTTCTCCTCTCATCAGAATGATTTGGGGTGAACTGATTATTTTGTGGTCAGTCACATGACCTCTGAAAGCCACTAAACACTGACGGTATTTGATATGATTGGGACTGGTCAACATGTGCGCTACTGATCCTACACAGGGCAGAATCCACTGCACTAAAGTGCAATGGTGAGCAGATTATCATTCAATCAATGAGTGACAATCCAGCGGCTTAACTTTTTCATACCTACAGTTATCCAGTTTCAGCCTCTCTGAATTTAATCTTTCTTTTTTCTGTTCACTATAACACTTGGAAATATTGATGTTAGTCAGTGTTGTACTACTCATAATATGAAGTAGCCAGTCATTCAGAAGAGTTATGAAGGATGTCTACCACTGGCAGATATCAGAACAAAGAGAAGTAGTGAGGTAGGTAG